ACACCTTCTCAGGATGGGTGGAGGCTTTTCCTACCACCAATAAATGTGCCCCCACAGTGGCCATTGTCCTCGTTGAACACATTCTTTCCCACCTCCCCTCCTCACTCCAGTCTGATAATGGTCCTAAATTTACTTCCCATGTTTCACGGTCTGTAGCTAAGGCACTCAGCATCTCCTGGCATTTTCATATCCATTACCATCCAAAATCCTCTGGCAAAATGGAACGTACCAACTGAACCTTGAAGAACATTCTCACTAAACTATCCCTTGAATTACATTTAGATTACACTAAACTCCTTCCCTTGGCTCTTCTTAGGTTATGGGCCCTCCCAAAGAAGCCACTCAACATCTCCGGCTTTGAGCTTCTATATGGACGGCCCATCTCCCTGCTCAGCTCACCACCCTCTGATTCTCCACCACCCCTTGCTCCTCATCTTTTCTGGCCCCTCCTTGCACACATTAGGAACCTTCTTTGGCAATACAGTGATGCTCTTCTGGAAAAGCCTAGTTCCTCTTCTTCCCCTTCCCCCACTCTGTCTCCTGATGACCTGGTACCTTTTAACTATCCCCATCAACAAGTCTCCCTCCTCCTCTCGACTCTCCACAAAATGGACCCTATTGGGTTATTCTTACCACTCCCTCTGTGGCCCATCTTGAGGGCATCCCATATTGGGTTCATAACTCCCGTGTAAAATGGATTTTTCCACCCTTTTATAAAGTGACACCCACAGGCCCTCTCAAGCTGTGTTTCTCCAAGGCTGGAACCCCCAATCTTCCTTTGGTCTCTGGGGACCACCAGCACACTGCAGAACCCTGAGTACCATCCTTCCCTTTTTCATTTTTGCCCTCCTCCCTCATTCTACACTCACCTCCCAGGGGGACCACTACCAGGATTTACCATTCCAATTTCTAGGAGACTTACAGCAACTTGCTCAAACCACACGAACCATACAACCTCAGCTTGATTCTTTAGCAGAATCCAAGGGGCCTTGATCTTTTTAAGGCCCCAAAAGGCAGACTTTGTCTGTACCTACAGGAGGAATGTTATGTTTATGTCAATCAATCTGCTACAGTAAAGGACAAGATAAAACAACTCCAGCTGGACCTTGGATGTCAGAAACAATAGCTCTCCTCTGCTGAAGGATGGCAGCTTAGTAACCCCCTTCTCCACTGGGCACTTCAGATGCATGCCCCCTGTGTCATTAGATTGGTTCAAGACCAGATCCAAAAAAATCTTTAATCAAACTTAAACCAGTTTTTGTTACAGAAATACCAATCCCTCACACAATTGGGTGGTGGAGAGAGCATATGGAAAAAGTTTCACTTTCCCACCCAAGGGCCTTTCTGAGAAAGCTCACTTCTCCCTCATACCAACTCAACCCCTAACCACCTGCGTTAGGACCCACAAATCTCTGAGCTGGGCCCTGAGTCTGCCCCATAAAGTCCCAGAACCCAAGCCTGGTTCGCCTCTCCACTGTAGAGAGATGGCCTTTATTTGTCAGCTAGACACACAAACTCTTGTGTGTATCTCTGCCTGGTCTCCGTCTTTCATTTCTCGCTCACCCCTCTCCTGGTTCCTCACTTTCCCTTCAGGAAAGTATGGCCATATGAAAACAAACAAAAAAGGGCAATAAGGGGAGACACAAAAGCCTAAGTGTTAGAGTCAGAATGAGAGCCCAAAGTGTGTACACTTAAAGAAAATCTACTCATGTTTTTCTTTGAGCATAAGGAACAAGAAATGTCCCTGATGCTCCAGAAAAGGGCTGACCCCAAAGCCAGAAAGTGAGCATGCTACATTTTCCTGCCATCAAAACAGCAGATTCCTCTCTCAACAGGCAAAATACAGCCTTTTTAAAGTCAAAAAGTAGAAGACAGAGATGGTGTGACCATTAAGTGATGGGACTGTTTCAGGCCATGTGCTTAGAGTCAGCTCAAGTTTCTGTCTGACTCATTGAGATAGTGGGAGATGTTGGGAAACATAAGGTCAAGGGTTTACAACAATTTCACACATTGCCAAAAATACTACAGTGTCACAGAAGTCACAGTGCTTCCGTGCATTCTCCTTACACTCATCATCACACGCCTTTATTCTCAGTGGCTCTGGAGGCTGAGGCAGAAGGATTGCAGGTTTGAGGTCAGCCTCAGCAACTTAGTGAGACCCTAAGCGACTCAACAAGACCCTGTCTCCGAATAAAACTTAAAAAGGGTGGTGTGGCTCAGTGGTAGAGTACTCACCTAGCATGTGTGAGGCACTGGGTTCAATCCTCAGCACCACATAAAAATAAATATATAAAGGTATTTTAAAAAATTAAAAAGGGCTGGGGAGGTGGCTCAATGGTTAAGTGCTTCTAGGTTCAATCCCTTATACCAAAAACATAAACAAACAAAAAACAAGTAAATGGCTTAACAAGCTGCCACAAGTCCACAAATGGTTAGAGAGAAACACCTGACACCCTGACAGAACAGAAAATAACACCTTTTTGAGATATCATCGATGGCATCAGAACAAGAATTACTGTCAGTACCAAGAAGACGTCTTGAGGAAATTGTGCAAATAAATTCTGAAGAAGACGCCGGGCGTGGTGGTGCACGCCTATAATCCCAGCGGCTCTGGAGGCTGAGACAGGAGGATTGCAAGATCAAAGCCAGCCTCAGCAATGGGAAGGTGCTAGCAACTCAGGGAGACCCTGGCTCTAAATAAAATACAAACAGGGCTGGGGATGTGGCTCAGTGCCCTTGAGTTCAATCCCCAGTACCAAGGAAAAGAAAATTCTGAAGAAAGGGAAGTCAGTCAAACAAGAAAAGCGAGGAGGCAGCCTCCATAGAGGCAGTGTTACAGAGGGTGAAGCCCAAGGTCCACATGGTGGTGGTACCAGGCTTTTCCCTGCCACAAGGGCAACAATGCTGTCCCTTTCCTAGGATCTTACTAACTCACTCCACACATGGCCGCTGCAACACAAGTATATACTCTTTTAAGGTAAAAATAGAATATATTAGCCAGATGCAGTGTCACACGCCAATAGTTCCAGCGGCTCAGGAGGCTGAGGCAGGAGGATCTCGAGTTCAAAGCTAGCTTTAGCAACTCAGCGAGACCCTGTCTCAAAATAAAAAAATAAAGGGCTGGAAACGTGGCTTAGTGGTTAAGCACCCCTGGGTTCAATCCCTGGTACCCCAAACAAAAACAAAACGAAACAAAAACTTTTAAAAATAGGATATATTCATGATCATATCAAAATTTTCTTCAGATATCTCAAAGCTATTGAGAGCAATGATTCTATTCTTCCAATTAAAATAAGCCGAGACAAAGAAGTATAGTCCTTTGGTTAGTGTATTAGTTTCCTATAAGACTGCTGTAGCAAATTAGCATAAATTGGGAGGCTGAAAACAACGGAAATGTGTTCTCTTATGGGTCTGGAGGCTGCAAGTTCACAGTCAAGGTGTGGGCAGTGCCCGCCCCCGCTGAAGGCTCTAGTGGTTGCTGCAGTCTTCAGTGTTCCTTGGTGACACTATCCCCCTGTCATGTGGGTCCGTGACTTCTCTTTTTGTGTGTGTGGGGAGGGGGAGATGGGACTGGAAATTAAACCCAGGGACACACTAACACTGAGCTACATCCCCCATCCTTTTTGTGTGGAGACAGGGTCTCACTAAATTGCCAAATCTGGCCTTGAACTTGCAATCCTCCTGCCTCAGCCTCCTGAGTAGCAGGGATTAGAGGTGTGTGCCACCGTGCCCAGCTGAAATTTCTCTCTTCTTATAAAGACACTAGTCATTGGATTAGGGCTCCAGCATGATCTCATCTTCCCTTGGGGGATTGAAAAGGACCTATTTCCAAATAAGATCAAATTCACAGGTATCGGGGTTGGGATTTGAACATATCCTTTATAGGGACTCAATGCAATCCATCACAGTGAGTTTAAAAGCAGGATATTGCTACCTCGAGTTAAATACACTTAAAACTACCAAAGGCCATAACTTTCAGACAAAAAGGAAGACAGCATGGTGTTTGGTGATGAAATAGTCAAGAATCTTTTTTCAGAGAAGCCCTCTAGGAGTTCTTCCCCTCCAGAGAGGGACACCATATAATAACATTTTTGAGCCTCTATTTCTGTGTGGTACGCACCTTCGTCTGATTAATACAATAGACATGATTGTTTTCTGTTAGGGCTGTAGGAAATGAGAGGCAGAGCATCGAAGGAACTTGCCATGTTCTCATGGGTCCTAAGAGGGTCAAGATAAGCTATAGATGGAGGCACCCTAATTCTGGTCCCAAGAGCAAAACTGCTGGTGTGGAAGGATGGGGAGGGGAGGCGGGGGACAGACGCTTCCTGCCTTCTCTCTGTACCTGCCACGGTCTATTGGAGCTGCTCTTTCTATTTGTGCAGTGTTGCCTCCAGAACCTCAGCAAATTTCTGACCAATGGACAGAGTTAAAATAAGCCACTCATACAATTTTCTACAACAGGGACCCATTGTCACGGAGGTCAGGTGGCCACCAGCTAAGCATTATTGTCCTGATCTGTACCATCCATTGTTTTGATGTCGGATGAAACCATGAAATGTGAGCCTTCTTTCTGCATCTGGAAATAAACAACAAAACTGAACTCGGTCCCACACAACCCCAGATGCCTTCTTTTCCCTCACAGCCTTGTTTCTCCAGCTTCCCCTCAAAAACCATTTTATTCCCTCAATCACAACTATGTGCTAGCTTTAGCAAACTGATCACCCAACTGTCACAGCAGACAGCAGCTCTCTTTGTTTCCTTTAGGATCTCCAAACCCTCTAGAGGCAAGTCCTATGGCCTGAAGATTTCATCTTTGTGCAAGAGAAAAACAAATAACCAGATTTCTTCTATCTCTTCTGCCTTAAAAATGAAATTTTATGTGATTCATTTTTTCAACGCTAAGATAAACATGTAATCTTTCATTCTCTCTCTCTCTCTCTCCCTCTCTCATCACACATTTAAAACCATGTTTATTGAATATCTTGTTTTTCATTTGGGAGATGCCAGAAGAGCCTGAGGCCCTTCAGCCACGCTTATTCTGGAGGCAGAAAAAAATGGAGCCCAAACCTGGAGCCTGAAAGTTCTCTCCGACACATAGCCCAGGCCAAGAACAAGATACTGCTGATTCCTTTTAGAAGTAAGTGAGGCTTCAAATCTGCTCAATTAAGGTTCAAATCCTGCTTCACTTCTCACTAGTTGTCAACCTTGGCAGGTCAGGCCTTACTTCTGAGTATCCATGTCATACCACACAGGTGCCACAGACCAGCCTAGGAGCCACAGAAGGGATTTCAGCTCTGGCATCCTGGCATCACAGCCACGGAACAGCAGTAAGCCTTCTGCTCCATGCTGGGCCAGGGACCCAGGGAGTGGTAGTTGTCAGGAACTGGAAAGTCTGAGATGCTCCTCCTTGCAGCTAACAAGGTAGCCTGGCAGTTTTATGATGCCAGCAGAAAACATAAAGACTCCCCAACTCCAGAAACATGAGACCTGGGAAGACTTTTCCAACAGCAGGCCCAGGGTATTCAGCAACTGCCATACTTGGAAAGGCGCAGTTAATTGTCTGGAATTTCTATAAACTTGCTCTGGAGAGGGCAGGGCAAGGCCTCAAACCATTTCAAAAGTGTCCTGGCAAGCACCGTAGGAATGCAGCAGGGTCACTGCAGACCCGAGCACGCTGCAGGCTTGCTGTCATTTTCTCTTTTAACCTGTTTTGCTTGGCTCCCTCACCTGCTGTTCCGAATTATGTTTATTGCCTTCTTTGTCCTTGGAATTTTCCTTTTCTCCCATTTTCTTTCTCCAGCTTCCTAGTTGTCCCAGCTGCTTGCCTGTCTCTTCCTTATGGTTCTCTCTAGAATCAGAAAAGCGTGGACATTTAAGGTGAAAAGGGACTTTCAGTTCTTTTAGCAGCATGATTTTATAGATAAAGGGCTAAGACTTAGAGAATTTAAGGAATTTGCTGAATGCAGTTTGTTTGTGGGAGAACCCAGCGGCAGAACCCTACTCATAAATACTTTGTCACAGCTTCAATTCCATTTTTTTTTTTTTGTACCTAATGTCACATCCAGAGAGGAAACTTTCCCAGCCGGGCCATGCTGGCTCATCTCTTATGCTGCACAGTCATGTCAAATGCAGCCGCTAGGTCATCAAGGATAGACCTAGAAGCTATTGTGGTGCATAAAATCTTTGAGGAGTCATTTTTCTGAGTAGGTGGCAGACAATTTCATACAAGCTTATGAAATGTGGCACCCTTATTATTTAACTCTATGGAAAAGAGAAATATAAAGAAGTGAAGAAAAGGGGAAATTTCTGTACAGTATTACCAATAGTGAAAGTATTGTGAAAGCAAAAGGAAGTGAAATTATACAAGTCAAAAATACACTCATGATATACTCATAGATTTCCCTCATGATCACAATCCAATAATAGAACATTGAGGCCATGGGTGAACAAGTAATGTTTATCAACACAAGAAAGATGAGGCTTTCTACCAATAGAATGGGATTAAATTTTTGTCAAATTCTGTGCCCCAGCAGCCCCCACACTTCTTTTATTTTAGTTTTTTTTTAAATATTTTTCTGTGGTACAGGAGATGGAACCCAGGGCCCCACATATACTAGGCAAGTGCTTGACCACTGAGCTACATCCCCAGGCCTTGGGTGGTCAAACTCACTAAATTGCTCAGGCTGGCCTTGAACTTCAATCCTCCTGCCCCAGCCTCCCATTTTCCTAGGATTTCAGGCATGTGCCTCCATGCCTGGCTTCTCACAGTTCTCGATGCATCCTAAATGCTTAATACACTTTGTCTAATAATATTGACCCCCCAAAATAGGTTGTCTACAGAAAGTCAAGTTAGAAGATTGAGTCAATTCTGGATTTAGGGTTCTTTTAATGCCAACATTCTATAATTTTAATTCTGAAAATCAGCACCAAGAATATTACTAGTTAGAGCAGCAGAGGGAGTAGCTTGGTGGTAGAGCACTTGCCTAGCATGTGCTGGGCCATGGGTTCAAACCCGAGCACCATACACACACAAAAAAAGGAATATTGCCAATTAGTAATAAAGAACCCCCCAGTGATGAGCTCCCTCCATTCACTAGATGTTGAATTGTTTGTGTAGAATGGGTATGATTCTAATTCTTTGTTTGCAAGAAACTGTAGCCAAGTCAACCTAACTTAGGCAAAAAGATAATTTATCATGTGGCAAATGTGTACCATGAATCACCTCCCTTACCTTTCCTGGCCTCCTTGTAGTTCATTTGAGGCCATGATGGGACTAGATCTAGCCAATGGACTGCAACATACAATACTGATGGTACCTCCTTGAAGACATTGTACTAAGTGAGATAAGTCAGTCACAAAAGGACAGACATTATATAATTCCACCTATATGAAGTCAGGGAGGATGGATAGTTAGCATTTAATGAACACAGTTTCCATTTGAGATGATGAAAAATTCTGGATATGAACGGTGTCATGGTTGCACAACAACATAAAGACCACTGAACCGGACACTTGAAAAGGGTTAACATGGTAAATTTTATATTATGTATATTTTGCCACATTTTTTTTAAAAGTAAGAAGCAATGTAGGGAAATTTTATATAGCACTGAGTAAGGAGAGAGAAAAATATGTTGGTCTTCCCCATCGTGAAGAGTTGGCCCAGTTGCTTTTCAGTCTGTGGCAAGGTATTGCTAAGTTGCCCAGGCTGGCCTCAAACTTGCTATCTTCCTGCATGTGCTGGGGTTATAGGTATGTGCCACTGCATCCATCTAGGATGAAATATGGTGACCAATACAATGCAGGTCAAGCACATGGTTCGGCCCAGGGTGAACACTCAGTATCTATTGCTAACACTGTCTTGAACCTGAGGGCATAAGTATGGCTCGGCCTCCTGTTGGCCTGGAACCAAGAATGAGATCCATCCAGACTGTTAGACTCTACCTCTGCCTATATTTGACCATCTGTTTTATTTTCCCCAGACAGAGACTGGTTTTCTCTGCTTCTCTCTCCTGATGATAAATAGAAGGTCACTATCCCACAACCCATAAATTAATTTTTCCTCAATTCAGGAGAGAAGTTCAGGTATTGGCTTTTAGTCTGATTCCCTAAAATCTCAATCCCCTGAAAAGAGTATTATTGGTTTAGCTTGGGTCAAGTGTCCATTTGTAGTCCAATAATATGGTCACTGGAGAAGAGTCCTGCCATGTCTGAGTGGGCCAGACAGTCACCCCAGGCCATCCTCAGCAGCCTTCTCCAGACATGTACTCCCAGATTGATTCTAGTAGTTAGAATATGGTTTCAGAGGCGCCAGATGATAACGGCTTGAACAAGGGAGAATAGTCCGTTTTACTCCCTTAAATTACTGTAGCTATACAGCTTAGAACTTGTATGCTGATTGTAGTGAGATGAATAGTATTTCCCAAAATTTCATGTCCACTCAGAGCCTAAGAATGCGACCTTATTTGAAAAGAGGGTCTTTATAGATGTAATTAGTTAAGGACCTCAAGATGAAATCATCCTCAACTTAGCATGGACCCTAAATCTGATGACTGTCATCTTCAAAGAAAAGGACACAGACACCCAAAGAGGGCCAAGGGAAAGTGGAGTCAGAGATTGGAGAGATACTGCCACAAGCCAGAGAACATCCTGGCCACCAGAAGTTGCAAGAGGCAAGAAAGGATCGTTCCTTAGTGTCTTCAGAGAGCCATGACCCTGATGACACAGAGGCACATCAGGTTCCGAGCTGGCAGTGAGTGAGCCAGAGGAAGGCCACCAAGGCTGGGCTGAGATCCTGAGGAATGGGGAGCTGCTCCTTTTTTTAAAGCAGAGATTTGCTCTAGCATAGTTAACATGGTGGTGATACACAAGACTTCTTTTATTATAAAATGAACATGGTAAGATTTATTTGATAGGGTTGTTGGGAGGATGCAATGAGACAGCAGTGCTTGGCCCATAGAAGGTGCCCAGTGAACAACAGCTGTTATTACAGAGGAGAAAGCCTGGGATGCATGCGTCAGTTCATTCATTTATCTAGAAGATGTCTGAGGAGAGCTCATAGTGCCAGGGTTAAGGGTCTAGGGATCCCTCACCCACTAGGATTCATACCAATAGAAGTATGTCCAAGGAACTCTATATCATAATGCAAAGCTTTGGTAAGAAATGGATTTGAAAATGGCTTAAACCCCAGGCCTAAGGGAGATCTAGTCCTCCTGCCTCTTCACTGAACTGAATAGTAGAACTCCCAGAACGAGGGTCATCGGACCCACCCATCATGTCACAGTGGAGAACCTGGGAATAAAAAGAATAACAGTTCCCCATCTCTCTCCCCCAATGGGGTGCCCTGCCACAGAGTGGGCCAAATACACAGGAGCACCCTGAGCACAGGAAGTGAAAGAAGGTGGAACTCTGGGGCCTTGCCTTTAAGAACAGTCACCCTACCCAATGATGGGAGTGGTACAAGCAGAGGGGTCACCTCTCAACTGGGAGAGAGCAATTAAAAGGAAGGAGAAGGGTAATGGAGGCATTTTCTCTGATATCCTTCCAAATGGGAAGAGAAGCAGGAACCTTCTTCCTTTTGTTCTCCGACTAAAAGAAACTACAATTTTATCTGGTTCTCTTTAAGCTGAGAGATATTTGAAAGTTGGGGAGGATGTTCCTGGAATAAAGAGGAGGAAATACAAAGACATGGTGCACAAAAGAGCCTGAGTTTCTTTTGTCTGCCATGTAGCCAGTGTGCGGGGGAAACAACCGGAAGGGTGTCTAGACAGGTGGGCAGGTACAGGATGGTTTTTCAAAACTGACTAATTTGAAGAAAGGTATCATCTGAATCTAACAGCAAACATGGTATTCATCCATGAAATGCCAAAGGCATTCTCATTAGGTGAGGGAACAGGAAAGGAAGTCTGTCATCTCTGATAGCATTCTGCCTTTTTTGCTAGACAATGTAATAACACAATAAAAAGGAACAGGATCCATAATAATTAGAAATGATAGGACAAAATTATCTGATTGCCTACCTCTTGCTTTTTTACAGAAGAAGCTGCACTGAAGAACTGAAGATTTTATTCATCTTCTAGACTTGCCAAATCTAATATCTGAAAAATAAGTCTTACCATTTTCATTTTATAGAAAAGAAACTTCTATATATCATTAGCATGTCAGTTATGCTAGAACAAATCTCTGCTTTAAAAAATTAATAGTTCCCCATTTCTCACTAATAAGCTTAGGCTTATTAATCTGCGAGGATTGCCATAACAAAACACCACAATACTGGTGGCTTAAACAACAAGAATTCATTTTCTGTCATGGTTATGGAGGCTAGAAATCCTAGATCAATGTGAAGCCAGTTAAGTTTCTCCTCAGGGGTCTCTCCCTGGTTTGCTGATGGCCTTTTCCCTGTGTGGTGCATCTATTGTGCCTCTTCCTTAATTTGTTTGTTTGTTTGTTTTGTTTTGTTGTTGGTGGTGGTGATGGTGGAGATGGAGGTGGTACTGGATATTGAACCCAGGGCCTCACATGTGCTAAGCACATGCTCTACCACAAGACTAAAGCCTCATCCTTATGACCTCATTTTAACTTAATTACCTTAAAAAAAAAAAAAACTTTTTTAAGAAAGAAGATTTTTAAAGTTCACAGCAGAATTGAGAGGAAGGTACAAAGATTATGCCTAAATATAGTCATAGTGAAGGTTAGGGCTTCAACATAGAAATGCAGGGACACAATTCCATTCACAACAGAGACTGATTATGACTATACTCTTTTTTTAACCTTTTATTTTATTTGTGCATAATGAAGGGATTCACTGTGATATATTCATGCATGTACAATACAAAATTTGTTCTATTTAATCCCCCCATGTCCCCCTCTCCCTTTCCACCTCCCTCCCCATGGCTATAATCTTAACTGGGCTTCTTGATACCCTCCCCACTGAACTGAGCTGAGAAAGGGAGGGCAAAGAGCAAGAGCCAGAGAGAGGCAGATACAAGTTAAATAAGCTGCTAAAACCTCCCTGCCCAAACCTGAACTTCTCCTTGAAGAAAGAAAGTAGCCATGTCATACCAACAATGGTTGTCAAGCCTGGCTGATTTTTTGAGAATCACCTGCAGTAGCTGTACAGACTTTTCAATGCCTGGGTCCCAACCAGAGTTTTAGAATTAACTGGTTCTAGGAAAAATATGGGCTTATGATTTTATTCTTTTTTTGAGATGTGTTTCACATGCTATACAATTCACCTTTTTGAAGTGAATAATTCAGTGATTTTAGTATACTCACAAAATTGTGCAACCATCACCACTAATTCCAGAATATTTTGATCACCCCAAAAAGAAACCCCAGGCCCATTATGCATTGCTCCCATTGCCCCTTGCAATGTACTCCCAGTGCCTGGCAAGCACCCATCCACTCTCTTCCTCTAGGTAAATGCCTATGCTATTCCAGATATTTCACATAAATGGAATCATATAACATGTGGCTTTTGTGTCTGGATTTCTTCATGGGCTTGTGTATTTTTAGCAAATCTATAGTTGTGCTGCCAGGGTCCCTTTAGGAAGTCCAGCCAGGTGGCAGGGGCCTGTAATCCTAGCCATTTGGGAGGCTGAAGCAGGAGGCTCACCAGTTCAAAGCTAGCATGGTCAATTTAGCAAGACCCTGTCTCAAAATAAAAATTTTAAAAAGGCTGAAGGTGTAGTAGCTCAGTGGTACAGTATCCCCAGGCTTAATCCCCAGGACGAAAAAAAAAAAAAAGTCCCTTCATGGAAACAGAGAATTTCAAGTGGAATGGGCGAAGCCTCACAGGACTTGGGTTAGCCCACAGCTAAAAGATTCCTAGGAGATTCAGCTGAAAAAGCTGGGAAGGGCTCTGAATGGCCCAGCTGGGCCACATGCTCACACCTTGGCCAATCAGGGTAGTCAAAGAATAATCACCTTCACTCCTTTGGACTCTAAGAAAAATGAAGATTTTAAGTAGAGAAGAACATAATCAAATTTAGAAACCTCTACTTGTCCAGGGAGTTTAAGGTTCTAAGAAAACCAGTTAACCTTAAAGGCAGGCATATTAAGTGTCTATTCTAATGATGTTACTTAAAAAAAAAATCTGCTAACATATAGGAAATACAGAAAACTGAAGTCCTTGTTAAATGATATACCACAGGGACAAAACCCAGCTCTGTGGAAAACTATTAACAGCACATTTGTTTGCTTTTCTCTCAGCAAATAAATTGCAAGGAAAAGAACTATAAAAGGGATAAGGAGAAACCATGGATTAAGAAGCATTTGGGGCTGAGGTTGTGGCTCAGTGGTAGGGCACCTGCCTAGCACATGTGAGGCACTGGGTTCGATCCTCAGCACCATATAAAAATAAATAAATAAAATAAAGAAGAAGAAGAAGAAACATTTAAAGGCACAGCAACCAATCACAAACTATGGAATTTAGATTTTTTTATATACTTGTGACATTTGTGAGAGAATCAGAAATATAGATATTAGTATTTAATGATATTAAAGAATTATTGTTCTTTTAGTTATCATAATAGCATTATATGATATTTATAAATAAAATGATAGGGTACATGGGATTTGCTTCAAAATATTACATAAGAGCAGGGTGGATTGGGATAGGAGTGGGATAGGTCTGGCCTGGGTTGCTGGTTATTGGGGCGGGGGGGAATAGGAATACTATATAATACTCTGTCTTCTTTAATGTTGTTCAAAGTTCGGCATGATAAAAAAATAAAAAGGTACAAAATCATATATTTATATTGAAACAGTCCTGCCAACACTTTTGTAAATAGTAGTTTGAGTCTATGTATGTTGGAAGCTGTGTATGAACTATGGATTTTTTTGAGCCAGTAATTCAGGGAAGCTGCATTTCTGGAAACTCCTGGGTGAAATTCCCTGGTTAGAGAAAGATCATACTGGCGCCCTGCCTTAGCTCACAGCCCTAGGTAAAATGCAGCCATGATTTGGGTATAACCTGTCAAGCACCAAACAACCTGTTTTCCCTACTCTCATCTTGTTTTCCTAGAGAAGCTCCTTACTGATTTCCTTTGGTGTGTACCGCTATTCGTGCTATTCTCTCTTAAAAAATTTATAAAAAAGAAAAAATAAAGCATTCGCCAGTCCACACCTCTGCAGTTACCCACTCCATCCCCACACAGGATGTGGGCAGAATGTGTATACATAAAATTACTAAAACTTCATTTCTTTCTTTTTTTTTTTTTTTTTTGTACCAGGGATTGAACCCTGGGGACACCTGACCACTAAACCACATCCCCAGCCCTGTTTTGTATTTTATTTAGAAACAAGTTCTCACTGAGTTGCTTAGCACCTCGCTTTGCTGAGACTGGCTTTGAAATCATGATCCTCCTGTCTCAGCCTCTGGGATTATAAGCGTGCACCACTGCGCCCAGCTCCCTAAATTTCTTTTTAAAAGGAGGAAGGAAAAGAACACTCTGCGTCCCATGGGCAACTGGATTGGGGGGTTGGAAAACTGAAGGTTGGGAGCCAAGTTAGGAGGCTGTTTAGATGATCCCAGGAAAGATGACAGTATCAGGAGGGGAAGAGAAAAGATAAAGAGATACTTAGTGGAACACTGGGAACCGGAGTGGCTCACCCTGTCGTCCCAGTGACTCAGGAGGCTGAGGCAGAAGGATCATAAGTTCAAGGTTAGCCTTGGCAATTTAGGGAGATCTCGTCTCAAAATAAAATTAGATAAATAATTTTTAAAAAGCAAAGCACAAGAAAGTAGAACACTGGGTTTATGACACATGAGGAAATTATCATCAAGTCTTTTATGTTTGGTGCTTGGGTGTGAAGAGTGAGAGGGATAGGCACTGGGTATGGCTAGAGCAGGTGGGTGGTGCCATCTGTTGAAATAAGGAATATCGGGAGAGGAGAACATTTGAGGGGGAAGGTGGTGATTTCAACTGAGCATACTGTGACTTTGAGGTGCCTGTGGGACATCTAGGTAGACCTGGACAGTTGGTTAAAAGGTCTGGGAGGCTAGGTGCCCTGGCACATGCCTATAATCCCAGTGGCTGGGGAAGCTGAGAGAGGAGGATCGAAAGTTCAAGGCCAGTCTCAGCAACACAGCAAGTCCCTAAGCAACCCTGTCTCAAAGTTAAAAAAAAAAAAACAAAAACAAAAAAAACTTAAAAGGCTGGGGATGTAGCTCAGTGGTAAATTGCCTCTGGGTTATATCCCCAGTAGCCCCCTCCAAAATAAATAAATAAATAAAGAGGTCTGGGAGGAGGCGAGTAGACATATAAAGTTGGAACCTGTCAGTACAGAGCAGGTGACTGAGGCCATGGGGAGAATGAGGCTACCTGGGTAGGTCCTGCATAGGAGGAAGGACTCTGGAAAAGAAAGGAAAATCTGGACCCAGAGGAAGACCAAAGGAGAAAGCAGAGACACAGAAAACGGAGCCCAGAAGACAGGCGGGAAAGGAACAGCCAGAAAAACAGGGTGAACTAGGAATGTAGGGCTGGGGCTGGCTGAGCATCTGCCTAGCCCGCACAAGGCCCTGGGTTCATCCCCAACACCACAAATACTACTACTACTGCTACTACTAGTAATAATAATAATGGTGATTTGAAAACAATAGCAAAGGTGAATAAATTTTGTGAAAATTATAGAAAAAGGGTCAAGAGTTTGAAAAGCCACTGAACATTCATACCCAGAAAGAAATGAATGCTGCCCATCGGACTCAACGACACAGACGCTGTTTATGACCGTAGCGAGAGCGGCTTCCGGGCTGCTGAACAAAGTCGACTGCCTTGGGTCAGGGAGTGAATAAAAGGCATACAGATATGTCTCCCCCTCCACAGTCCCTTCTAGGGCAGGCTGCCCTGTTCCTGATCCCATGGTCATAAACAGCCACAGTGTGTGGGCATGGACCCCATGGTCATGAGGCCAGTGACCGACTTGTCTCCTCCCTGGAAGAAGTTACTGGGCTAATTGGGTTCCATCTTTCTTGGGCATCTGTCTGCTGAGTTGGGCTCAAGTCCTGAGGTGGACTGGAGCTGGACTGATTATTATGGGATGTACTAGATGACTAAGTAGAGAGAGACCATCAGAGAAAAGCAGAGAAAGAGACAATGGAGAGGAGGCCTGGGGAGAGGAGAGGAGAGGCGATGAGCCTCTGATCTTGATGGGAGGGAGGAGCTCCCTGGAAGTTTCCATGAGGACAACCATTCTTCATCCTCTTGTTGAGATTTGCACAGGACTGCAAGTGCCTCCTTCCAAGAAACAGCTCCCCTGAGCCAGCCCAGTGGGTCTCCATGCCAAAGAAACTCAAGCAGAACAGGAAGGAGGAAGTAGAGGCAGTGGGTGTGGACAGCTCCGTCAAGTAGTTAGTTTTTCTTTCTTTCTTTTTCTTTTTTTTATTTATGCAGTTTGGTTTCTAGAGAGAAGAGAGAAATGGGGCAGCAACCATGGACTGATAAGAGCCACTTAAAGAGATTGTAATGCTGCCAGAGATAAATCAAGAGAGAGGGAGGAGATGGACCCAAGAGAGCTGGACAACTGATAATCCGGGCACTCAGAAGAGGTGGCTGACGCATTGTCCTCAAATATCGACCCCAGTGCATTGGGGTCTCGCTAGCAGAGTGGGTCTCCTCTCGGCTGCCTCTTCTGTTGGTACTTCCCTGGTCAGACAGGAGCCGCACTGACTCCTGCTCTGTCTTAATTGAGCATGTCTCTCTAATTAGGCTGACAGCAGTTGGTTTCAGTGCATGATAAATCATGTCAGATGCCTTTCGGACTTGCAAAGTCACTTCCAGGAGGCATTTGACCCCTGGATGTGACGTACAGCTTCAAAGATGGAACTGGCTATGTTCTGTCTACTTCTAGTTGTATTCTTTTGGTATCTGTGCTCTATGATACAGTTCACTTCAAAATGACAACCTCTGGTTTAACAAATGCATTTGGGGAACAAATGGCAATTTTCATGTGTGAACATGATAGTAAACAAGGAATGAAGGATTGATGTTAGAAAATTTGCAACTTTATTTATTCTGATTCCAAAGGAAACCCATAGTATCAATCAGCTTTTCACTGATGTGGCCAAAATACACTGAGAACAACTTAGAGAAGAAAAATGTTATTTAGGCTCATGGTTTCAGAGGTTCAGTCCATGATCAGATGGCTCCATGGCCCAGGATGAGTCAGAACATCACGGCAGAAAGGAGTGACAGAGGAAATCTGCTCGACTCATGGCAGCTAGGAAACTGAGCCAGGAGCCAGAGACAAAAACATAACTCCTGGTCCTACTTCCTCCAGCCACGCTTCACCTGCCTATAGCTACCACCCAGTAATCTACTCAAATTATTAATCCATCAAATGGATTAACCCACTGATTAGGTTTTAGCTCTCATAATATAATCACTTTACCTCAGAACTTTCCTCCATTTCCATGTGAGCTTTTTGTGAGACATCTCATATCCAACCATAAAACCAACAGTTTCCCTTCAAAGTATATCAAAAAGTAGAAATTTCAAAGTCAGTGCCAGGCTTGGTGGTACATTCCTATAATCCCAGCAACTTGGAAACCTAAGGACCTCATTCAACTCCACTGAAACCTAAGAAAGAGGAATTGTAAGTTCAAGACCAGCCTCAACAACTTAGATCCTTAGCACTTAGTGAGATACTGTCTCAAAATAAAACATGAGAAAGCTCTGGGACTATAGCTCAGTGATAAAGCATCCTGGGTTCAATCCCAAGTATAAGGAAAAAAGAAAAAGAAAATAAGAAAAAAGAATTTCAAAGTCCAAGTTTCTGTATTTCATTTCCAGAGGGAAAATCTGTTTATAATTTGATGTATTTCTCAGACCTGAGTATTCACATATGACATACACAGATGGACCCATGTGACGTCTACATACATATGAACATAAATCCTGTTAAGTCCTCTCTAAAGTATGTTTCTCATTTAACAATACTTAAAATGGAATATGACCTGATATAAAGTATATGTGCATAGAAAAAAGAACAAAGGGAAAATTATATAGTATTAACCATAATCCTGGGGTGTTAATATTATAGAAGAATTTTTTTTTTCAGCTGGGTGTGGTGGCGCACGCCTGTAATCCCAGCAGCTCTGGAGGCTGAGACAGGAGCATCTCGAATTCAAAACCAGCCTCAACAAAAGCAAGATGCTAAGCAACTCAGTGAGACCCTATCTCTAAGTAAAATACAAAACAGGGCTGAGGATGTGGCTCAGTGGTTGAGTGCCCCGGAGTTCAATCCCCAGGACCAAAAAATAAAAAAGAATTTTTTTCTTTACATGTTTTCTTGCCGCCTTGATTTTCTGCAATGGAAATATATATATTACTTTGGGGTTTTGGTGGTTTTTTTGTTTGTTTTGGGATTGAACCCAGAGGTGCTTTACCACTGAGCTACAGCCCAAGCTTATTTATTTATTTATTGAGTTAGGGTCTTGCTAAGTTGCTGAGATTGGCCTTGAATTTGCAATGTTCATGTCTCAGCTTCCTGAGTCGCTGGGATAACAGGTATGAGTATATTACTGGCAAGTATATTACTTTTAAAATATATATTTAAAATATACATTAAAATATACATCTTAAAATATACATATATTGTACATAAATATATATGCATAATCTGTTTAATCATGTGTACATGTATACATGCATATGTATAATATATCTATGCATATATGTACCTGTACATACTTGAAAAAGAGAGACAAAACCTGAGCTACACTGGCGAGTTTCTCATTTGAACCATTGTTTCTGTTCTGTTAACGTTGATGTCACTATAGAATTCCATCAAGATCCGCGGTGAAGTGCGGGCCCCAGGCCTCAGAAACCAAGCCTCCTCTCCATGTTGCTGCACAGGGCTGGTGACCTCATTCACACTCCATTGACACACACCATCTTGCAAGAAGAGTCCCCACAGCAGGTGGCAGTGATTCAAGGTGGTGGTGGTGGGGGTTGTGTCACAGACTCAAGTGACCCTGCTAAATAAACCAAGGATTAACACTTGTGAGTCAGAAAGAGAAGGAATGTGAGTCAGCAGTGTATTGATTCAGATGATCACAGTTAACCAAAGCTCGACATGAAACAAATTTTAAAACACATTGGTCCACACACTGAAAAGTCCAAGGCGGGGTATCTGTGATGGTTCGGGAATGGTTTGGGTTCCAAAGGCTGACGAGCTGGAAGCTTGGTCCCCAGTGTGGCAACATTGAGAGATGGTGGAACCACACTCAGAGGTGCGGCCCACTGCAAGGTATTCAGGTCATGGGGCACAGCCCTCGATCTCAGAAGAGATTAATACTGGTCTTGCACAGTGAGTTAGCTATCATGGGTTGTTATAAAGTGAGACCAGGGGCTGGGGATGTGGCTCAAGTGGTAGCGCGCTCTCCTGGCATGCAGGCGGCCCAGGTTCGATCCTCAGCACCACATATGAACAAAGATGTTGTGTCTGCTGAAAACTAAAAAATAAATATTAAAATAAAGTGAGACCATCATACACACTTTGCCTCTTATGCATGTGACCACTTTCCTTTCTGCTCCTCCATCCTGTTGTTGTGACAGCTAGAGAGCCCTTGCCAGAGACTGTAGCAATGGGACTGACTGATCTTAGACTTTCAGCCTTCAAAACTGTGAGCTAAATAAGCCTCACTATTTCATAAGGTCCCCATCCTCCTGTGTTTTGTTACAGAAACAGAAAACGGACTAAAACAATATTCTACATATCTAGTTGAATCCAGCAGTTCAAATCATATTGTGAGGACACAGTCTCCCTCTCTCCCTCTCTCAACTGTGTTCTCTGGTTGACTTTATTTGGGGGCAGGCTTTCTTTGCATAGTGACTGCTGAAAGCTCTGGAATATTCTACCAGATGAAGAGTTCCAGAGAAAGACACAAAATCACAGAGCTGAAGTGTGGACTGAGAGATGGTCTAGGGAGGGGAGGGTGCAGCCCCATCTGAGCCATTTGAGGGAGGATCAGAGGTTTCTCAAAGCAAAGCTGAGGTTCCTCTGTTAACAGAAGAAGCTGGCAATGATCAAGTGCCCATATTGATCAGGCTTATTCTGAGATCGGCCATCACCTGTGGCGAAGTCACCTCACCTCTCCGGACATTGATATCCACACCCAATAAAGA